AGGATTCAGAGGATCCTTTTAATACTCCAAGCCTTCATTTTTAGGGATCAAATCATCTTTTTTCCTATAAATGATGTCGGTTCTCTGACAACCTGTGATCAACAGATCACTCATGGTTGACTTAGTGCATATCAGAGGCAGGAGTCCGCGTGGGTCCTTCCACCCAGCACCAGCATTTGCTGGAGGAAGTCCAGAAATAACAAGGGTGCAAGGAATGGGCAGAGGCTGGGGCAGCAGTTGGGGCTGTAGCTGCAGTGAACGTTCTGTGGGCTGATCACACATGTCAGCCCAGCCCATTTCCTCTTTCCTAAGCTGTTGTGCGAGTCACAGGAGTTTTGTAACTGGTGTCAGGCGGAAATCCACCGACCGTTTGGCATATGAGTAGTTGAATGCTACCCATGATCCCAAGTTCAGCTGGCAGGCTGCTGCAATAGAACCCATTTTTTTGTCTTACAGTAGAAAACCAAAACAGCAGCAGCACGATGATACAGCACTTGAATTCAAAGAAATTATTCCAGGTCATATCCTTATTTCTTATGGCTGCTATAGCAATGGGATAGAGAAAACTCAGAAAAGTGGAAGTATCTTCTACCCAGACTTTTTTCCCCTGGAAGAGTCTTCTAGCCACATTGCCCCCCCCCCTAATCTTCTGAAGCATTAGATAAATAAGCAAAAACTTACTTAATTTGTAAACCTGTATTGAGCTGGTGGCTTTAGAAAAGAGGAGACATTAAAAGGGTTGTTCTCCTGACTTCAGATCTTTAACTTTGTTTCCCTACAACTCCTTTACTTGCCTGAACCATCAACTTTGATCAATCTTCTAATTAATCAGCTAGCAATGGATGGAATGGATCTGGGCCCCAATAGCGACCAAAGGGGGGCTTTAGCCACACGGAAAAAAAATTTGTTGCACAGCCTCAAAGCTTTAGGAAGGGCTCTCTACTGACCCAGCTTCGGATGAGCTTTTCAGCAGCAGTTACCCCTTAACTGTCCTGATCCCAGTTCCGGACTGGCAGAGGTGGCACTTGCCCAGGGCCACAGTAGGGAAGATGCATTCAAGTCAACACAGAATGAGAAAAATTAAAACCCACATTTAGCCTTAGCTAAGCTAAGCTGTCTTTTCAGTGTGCTGGCTGAACCCTCATGTTAAGGCTCTGGCAGTAAGCGGAAGAATTAGATTTGTGCAATCCCTTGCCATAGTTTTATTTTGCAATCCAGGCTGCCCTGTCTCTCCTCGGCTGCTCTTGGGGAAGGCAGCGTGAGACAGGGTCTTGGTGCTGCTCCAAGCTCAAGCTCCGGCCCCGAGGTGTGGTGTGGACATATGTGCCACAGTGCCGCACTGCAGGACACCAACAGGCAGTATGGGTTGGGATGGTGTCAGCCTTCCTCAGCAGAGAATCACAGAATCATTGAGGTTGGAAAAGACCTTTCAGATTAGTCAGTCCAACCGTTAACCCAACACGTCCAAGTCTGCCACTAAATCTTGTCCCTAAGCCCCACATGAACACATCTTTTAAACACCTCCAGGGATGGTGACTCTACCACTTCCCTGGGCAGCCTTGTTCCAGTGCTTGACAACTTGTGTGGCGATGAAATTTTTCCCAATATCCAGTCTAAGCCTCCTATGGCACAAATTGAGGCCCTTTCCTTTTGTCCTATCACTTGTTACTTGAGAAGAGGCCGACAGCTGCCTCACTACAACCTCCCATCGGGCTAGATGCTGCTAGTGAAAAGGAGGAAGGTTTCTCTTAAAAGGAAGAGAAGCCGCAACGTGGTAAGCCTTCCTGCACACCTCTCACTTGTGGTAATTGCATCAGAGGAAAACATCAGAAGAGTTATTTTGCAGAAGGTAAATAATTTTACTTCCCTGCACAGGAGGAAAGTCCCCAGGGTGACAGGGAAGCACGATCTCTTTGACTAAGCAGTCACAGTACCTCCGTGCGCCGCTAATTCCAACTTCTGCCATTTTAGGACAAACCACACTGTTGCCAAACCCATGAAATCTGTACCCGGTTCGTCATATTCCTAAGCCTCTACTTCCCCTTGCACAGGAAGCAACATGATCACAGATGTTCCTACCCTGCATCCAAACTACCCACAAGCATACAAATCCTCAAAAATAAAGATGCTTTTCTCTTCTGCCCTCTCCCATCTCTTCCCAACCAACAGCTGATTCGGGAGAGAAGCACAGAGGCAGAGGTGGAAGAGTCAGGGAGGCATGATAGACCAGGAGTTAATACTGCTAGAAAGGATTAATTGCAACATAATTTTACGTTCTAACACATATGAATCTAAAAGAAATGTGTAACTTTCTATTTGAACCTTCTCCCAGAGAAGCCCTGGGGTGCAGGAAACTGTTTACCAAACCCAGGGAAAAACAGGTTTCTTCTGGTATGCGGAAAGCAGAACTGGAGGGCTGCGGGTTTCTGTGCTGATCTGCACAGATTTATGCTTGAGATATTACACAGGTTTGCTCCTCAGAGTGAGAGGTGTAGTTGTGTGCATGCTCACTGAAGGATCAGCAGCGTGGAAAATAATGTGAATGGCAGACAGCAAATTTGCAGCAATTAGACCGATAACATCTGCAATTAGTCAAAGGGGATCACACCAAGGGAAAGTAGATTCAGAGAAGTGGAACATGGCACTTATCTGAGATATTTACTTCTGGGAGAAGAGTTCAAAGAATGAGCCAGTTTAGGTCCCAAAGCACAGAATTTGTCCACACAGAAAGAACCAACATCAGTAACAAGCCCTGAACATCCCCCAGGTTACCTGCCCAGGAGTGCTTGGAACTCACCCGCAGGCTCCTCCTACACAGCCCAGACCAGCCTCAGGACGGCAGCGCTCGCTTCTGGCCCAGACCTGCTGACCGAATATCAGAAAATAAAATCAGAATTTTCTATAGAAGCCACATCATTATTGCTAGATCTTTATTTGCATTTCCCCCTCAAAGACACTGTTCAGTTATAGCAGCCCTGAGACTTCAGACAATCGGGATTCATTTTAGAGATCATTGTTATTTGTCACTTAAGGTCACAAATTATGAATTAACTGCAAGACTGGATCAAAAAGCAGAGAAAATGTTTATGTAAGACGTCTGCAAAGCTGACAGACACGGCTGAGAAGAGTCAGTGGCTCAACATGCAAGGCGAGACAGTCCCTGGGAAGCTTCACTTAGCTGTGAAGGGGTGAAATAATCAGTCTTGGCAATATTTTCTTAAATGTAAAAAAATGAGGGGTATTATTCGATCTGGAGGCAGAGGAGTGCGTTTCCTGGTCATAAATATAATTTTTTTGTATAGGTATACAGATATGAGTTACAGTTTTTACCCATCACCCAAATCTAAGGCTGCCTGAAGACGAGAAGCTCCTCTGAAGTCTGGTCTCCTGAAGGCTGGTGCTTACCTCTCCAGATTTGAGCAGGTCTTGCACAGGCTCAGGTCTCCTCCCTTAAATTACATTTCCAGCACAAAAAAATCTCCCCTGCAGAGAGACAGTGAACAAGCAGAAGACGACCTGTTTTAGGAATGAAATCTCTTTCCTGAGTCCTTGTTGGGAACCACAACCCTGCCTTGCTTCTGCTCTCAGGCACACTGTGCTTACTCTCCCTACTCACTCACCCAGACCTTTCTCATCTCCCTCTCCTCCTCCACAACCCCCAAAATAAGAGGTTGCCTTCAAAAATAATAATAATAAAAAAAAGGGGTGGTGGTGGAAATTAATACACAGCACATATGCTGAATGAAAACTAATGTTAGAATAATGCCAGCACAGCATGTTGGCAGAATAACCATTTTGGCACTGAAAAATATTCCTTTTCCCTTTGTTACTTCCAGGTGTGATCAGTCCAGCAGAAGAGCCGCAGCCTGATGGGCCCTCCCTGTGCTAGAACACCCCTGCTGCGTCTCCCCACAGAGGACACTGCAGACATCATTTGAAGAGCAGCACAGCTGTATTTAGATGGAAGAAGCAAGACTCATGGGGGAGAAAGGGCTGTCTACAGGGGGCCACCCCAAGTGGAAAGCAGGAACAAGAATCTTTCCTGACATGTCCAAAATGTTTTTAATTTCCTGTCTCGCAAGTCATGATCTGTCTGAAGAACAGATGGCTGCGGGGCAATTCCCAGAACCCGACAGGGAAGAAAAGTGCCCAGTCAGACTAGAAATGGAGCACAAACAACCTTGGGGTTTTCCAGCCCCTCCGGACTGGACAGGGGAGCCTCTGGGCTATTGCAAGAGTTTCCACTCAACGGCAGTTACAAGAGAGTGGGGAAAAAAAAATCAGTAGTGGAAAAAGCGGCGTAGACGACAGAGCTCGACACCTTGTGCAACCTGCTGAATGCCCTTCGGTTAGCATCCCCAACCCAACTACCTGTGATCAAAGGAGCATTTTTCTGACAGAATCTGTTATTTGTTTCCCCCCGCGTCAGAAGGCACACAAGGTGCGACGGCTCCGCTGCAGGAGCGCTCCTTGCCCACAGGCCCTCGGAGGCACACGTGAGAGCCCAACACAGAAACCTCCCCAGCGCAGGGAAACCCCCCCAGGACCCACGCGGCAGGGGCCAGCAGTCTGATAACCCCGTGGGCACATTGGTGCTCCCGGGCCCTCGCTGTGCTGCTCTCCGGTGGGAGCGAAGGCAGCAGATGCTTTGGGACAACCCCCCTCGCAGCCTCTGAGGCTTCGAACAAACAACTTCCACTTTTGATGTTGTCCTCAGCGAGAGGCTGAGCAGCTGCTGGCACCAGCGCGATGGGGAAATCCTTACAGATTGCGCTGGGCAGAAGCAGCTCCGGCGGCAGCGCCTCCGGCAGCTTGGCAGAAGGAAGCAGGGCTGCGAGGTGCCGGGGGATGGGCTGAGCCCGGGGGTGTCCTGCCCCCCACCACCCCCCCCCC